TATATAACCTTTATTATGTTGGGATGTGTTCCCTTTATTTCCACTTTGCTGACAGTGTTTATCATCAATCAATAAAATATGTAAAAAAAATAATATGAAACCTATTTACTAAATTGCACTGAAACATAAGAATACGCAGTCCTTCATTATATATATTTATTCAATTATATATTTATGAAGTAAAATAATATTCTATTTAATTAGCCATTATCTTTTTATTGTATTTTGGATAAGTTTGGGTATTATGAAATAAAAACTATTAAAAGAGAGGGAAGAGTTGATTGTCATCAATTCTGAGAAAATAATTTTTCCCAAAGAATATTTTCAATTTTACATGAATATTAATAAATAATAATTTATTAAATTAGCATGAGGAATAGTAACCGGAGAATGGGAGAATACATCCATCAAATTATTTGATACATAATCAAACAAAATACCAAATAGTTTAAAAACATAATAGTGCAGGAATAGCCTAAGCAACTTGCTTATTTATGCAAGGTGACCATGAATATGATTGACAGAAGCCCATGAGCTATTCAGGAAGACTTACTCGACACCATCAGTGAAGCCACCAGGTCCTGAGGGATGACAAGCTGGATAGAACCAGAGGCCTGCCAACAGAGACTCCCTCACGGTCAGTCTCATCAGTGTGGGTAGTCCCTTCATTTGGAGAGAAATCACATTTAGTTCAGTCTCTTTAGTGTGAGTGGACTAAAAAGAGCCAGTATGTGTTTCTGGGCCCCATACAAGTAGATGAGGACTGGGCGAGAATGGAGACATACTTAGGATATTCAAATAGAAATCTGAAAGTGAAAGCAGAGGCCAAGTTATATTGTTATATAGAATGAGGACCATAGCATTGTGTGGCTTGTGGGGCGTCAGAGGATCTGGGGGGAAAAGCAAATTGGCTTTGTTGGAAATCTCAGTGCCCCTGCCCTCAGCTAGGCACACTTGAAGGCAGAATTATTTCAGATCCTACCTGCTGGTGACTCTGTTCAATTGTTGCTATACTGGTCCTTACTCTGAGAGTTTGGATTGCATTAGATGAGGAACTCAAGTCAGGTGGTGAAAGAAGCATGGGACTGGGAGCTGAATGTAAGGTGAAAGCTTAGCTGCTTGGAGTGAGGTATAAGGATCAGCAACATGGACATCACCTGGGAGCTGGCTAGAAATGCAGAGTCTCAGGTTCTGCCCCAGACAAACCAAACCAAGATGTCAACAAAACCCACAGCTGACACTTGACACACTGAGATTTGACAAACACAGGACCGTGATGGGACCTGAGCCTACAGCTTGGAGCGATTGCATATGGCTGAAAGTGATAGCCTTTTTTACTGTCTTTTATGCCAAATGTAAATAAAAGCATTAACAGAGTGCAGGAAAAATTTAAACCTCCATACGTCTGATAGATACATAGGCAGAAGTTGGAATTTCCAGGAAATACAATTGTCATTTATTTTCTTTGTTAAGAGACTGTATCACTATGTCATTCAATCTGAATCTTTCCTTCCCACTTCTTGGAATCAACTATCACTACTTCTTATGTAGTAGAATAAATATAGCAACCAATGCTACTTTCTTGGGGAAAAGTAAGTTCCACCTCAGAATAAACCTGTGGAGAAAGTTATCCATCTTTCTCTACCATCTTCACCACTGAAATGTGTGAATGGCAGGTTCACCTCCCTGGCCATTGTCTATGAACATTACTTCGTGATCATCAAAGGGCCTCACAATGACCTCTACAAATTTCCAGAGAAACTGGCTGCATGTATTAAACTGACCGCTATAACCAGAGGAGCTTAATTAAATGAACTGGTGTGCAAAATATATAAACACACCGTCTTTTATTCACAGCCGCTCTCGCACTCATGGCTATAAATACCTCAGCAGCCCCTTTGGAGTTTGTGGACATGGATATGCTGCCATTTCCTCTGCTAATCTCCAATTGTTCGGGGGTCTGGCCAAGTGCCACAACGGAAAAGTTGCCAAGCTTGTTGCCTTTTTATATGCATGCCTTCCACAAAGTAATTATTACTTCCTGGAGGGCTGAGGGGCTAAATTTAACTCCGGCCATAGATTTAGTCTTGTGGTCACATTTATACATATTTACCACTAGAAATTAAATGAGAGATTTTTTTTCCCTCCGTAAGTGTCCGTCTCAGGTAAAGGGAAACTTTTGTTCCTCATCTATCTCTCCTGAGGACACAAGAAGGACAGAAAAGCACCTTGTTTGAGAACTGTTACTTCCCTGGATGACAGAACACTCACTCTCAAATTAATTTTGCTCAGAATGTTTCCCATATCGAAATGGGACAATTTCTTGTACGTGGACCTTAGCCAGAGAAGCCTATGACTTTTCGAAATTATAATTGCCTCATTACAGCAGAGTGTCCACATTTTAGTGGTGAACGAAATGACTGTTTAACTTGGAAGACTTTTTAGTCTAGGAAGATAAAAGCCTGGGTGAAAAGTGTGGGTGTGCGAGGGAGTAGCAGTGGCCTTCAGAAGATGAAGTGTTAATGTACAGAGGATGGAGACCAGCTGCTTTTCATCTCCACTGAGAGCAGACTGGAGGAAATGGGCCCACATGCTCCAGGAGAGACTTAGGGAAGCTGCTAAGAAAGAGCATCCTTTCTTATAGGGCCAATACTGGAGGAAATGAAGCCAACAGGATTTCTAGAAAGAAATTGGGAAATGGCTCTGAAGGAGTTATATGTTATTGTAAAATTCCTGAATTAAGAGAGTTTCTAAATACACTCTTACATTATTTAATTTCAGGGTACATTATCATCATCATTCTCAGCAAATCACTGTTACATTCATACAGAATGTAAGTCTCCGTGCTGAGAGTAGTTAGCAGTTTTCTTCATTTCCATGGTGGAGTGGAAAAAGCAGGCTCTTTGGAGCCAGAAGAGTCTGGGTTTGGATTTCAATTTTGCAACTTACTGCCTCCATTACTTTGGTTCCATTCTGCAACCTCCCTGAGTTTAATAGCAAAATACCAACTTTGTAAAGAAATTGTTACCACTGAAGATAATATGTAAGTTTCCTAGCGCAAAAGCAGGTACATATTAAGCATTTGATATCACTGGGTACTTGATATTATAATCTATAAAGGCCTGTTAGTGCAAGGGACTGTTTAGTACTTAATTATAATACTAAAAAGTTATTCCTTTAGGAAACTCAGACACCAATAGGTTAAGCTAAGTTGCATAAAGACATAAAGCCTATAAGTTGTAAGGCAGCTATTCAATGAACACATATTGAATTTAAAAGCTGGTGCCCACAGGTTTTACATTGCAGGAGAGCAAACATCTTGTCAGAGACCTCGGTAAAAGTGCTAAAAATTCAAAAAATTACTGAGCTGAATTTATAGACCATCTTAATATCTTATGTTTGGTAATTTAGACTCATGTTACCTTAATGACAGTAAAATATTTTAACCATAAATTAAGTTATGATGAAGACAAAGTTGAAATACAGTGCAAAAGTATTATTGCTAATTCTTCACTAAGAAATTAAACCAGTGAACAGACTTTTTCTTTTAAAATATTATTTAAGTTTTGGCCTTGGCCGGTTTGGCTCAGCATTGGAGCGTTGGCCTGCTGACCAGAGAGTCCCGGGTTCACTTCCCACTAGGGGCACGTACCAAAAAAAAAAAAAAAAAAAAAAAAAATTAAAATATCATTTAAGTTTTGGACACCATGACATTATTTGCTTATAGATCTACAAATGAGGGACAGAAACACGTGAAGATGTGGTTCCTGGTATAGCTAATCAGCTAATTAGCTGGCCTAGAAACTTTCAAGTAATTATTTCTAAACCAAATACACTAACTAAAGTGGTATTTTTATATATTTAGAATGCTCCAGTCAAGCTATCAGCCATTTATTTTACATTTATAAATTACAGTTCTACATAATTTTGCCTTTGTGATATATGTTGAGTTCTTAAAAAAATTTAAAAGTAGGGTATTAGTCAATGCACACTCCTATATATTGACTAAATATTTAAATGTAACATACAGTGGAATGTGAATGATCATCGAGGGAATAGTTTTGGCATTTTAGGTCTCTAGTTAATGGCCTGTAACTGATATCTTTGAGATACTAGTTCTGGCTTTTATTTGGATATAACTAGGAAAAATAATTCTGCAAGTTTTGAGCCTACCAGAGAAAAGTCATCACAGCCGTAAGAACCACCTTTGTAATGGGTTCACAGTTTGCATTCCAATACTGAGTTTGGGATTGTTAAAGTGACTATGATGGTTAGCATCTTTACATGAGTTAGTACACATGAATTTGGTAGGCATGTGCTTGTATATGGAGTGGCTGGTCAAGTTACATATGATCAAGTACATCTTGTATTTGAATGGGTGCTTGTTCAAAATACCACAAGGGAAACCTTAACTTTCCATTATTTAGGCCTACTCCCATCAAACCTATCACATAAATTACTAAATGTGGGCTTGTTTGTATGTTTGTTTTTGGCATAGTCTACTTTTTCAACTGGTATAATTTGTGATAAATCTGTTTTTTCCTGAACTTTTCATGAAGATTTTCTATTTTTCCTCTGGCATCTCAGAAAATAATATTTCTTTAAAAAATCTTAAATTGCTTCAGTGGTTAATATGATAATGATTATAATTCGATTTCATAAAGCGAACATAATAAAATCATCATAAATAAAAGTCTTAAAATATTCTTGACTATTAGTAATATATTTTTAGCATTCAGAAAATGATTTTTGTTAAAAAGCTCTATTAACAAACTACCATTATGGTGTTGTCTTTCTGAAGGTGACAGGGTAATCTTAAAAATAAAGAAAAATTCCTGGCAGTTTATTATAAGGTAACACATAAAATATCACTTGATATTGACAAGAAATACTATTCACTTTTTTTTATTAACAAAAGAAACGATTATTTGCATAGCAGTTTGGTACTAATCATGAAGTAAATAAAGTCTCTGAAAATAGTATACAAACAATGGATTTTGAATCAAAAATGTTTATTGTAAAAAAGGACCTTGAAAATTGTTTTTTAAAAAAGAAACAGAATTTCACAATTGTTCAGGTTCTTTATATGCATTAACTATAAAAAAAAACACATCTCATTTTCATACAAAATTCATTCAATCATATAAAAATAAACACAAATTTACATTGACTCAGCAATTATATGATTAAGGCACTTGGAAAGGATGCTGTATAGATTGCATTTGTTGTATGCATTTAAGATAGTTTCAGTACATTACTGAGTTTCTAAGAATCCTTTTTTGCACTTATTCCCATCTTTAATTAATTTTAGAAAACCATTAAAAATTATTTAAAAAAATAAGACATGGAGCGTGCACCAGGAATGTTTAAACCCAGCTTTCCCTCCTCCACCAAGGCACATGCTGGTTATTGGCAAAACAAAAACAAAAACCACTTTTAATACAGTCTTCTGTGTTTTGTTCTTGTACTTTTTTCCTCTCTCTCCTTAAAATACAGTTTAAAGCATTACAGGTAATCAAAAAAAGCTTTAGTTCAACAATTGCAACCAGACATTAGACATATAATGAAGTAAACTTGGGTAGTTCATAAGGCACCTGAGATAGTGTCTGGCAGATTCTCTTACTATAAGAAATTCTATTACAAATTCTATTAAAAAACAATACTGTTCCTTTTAGTTGAAATGATTTGGCAGCAATGTAAATCTTTGCATTTTTTCTTAGTAGAAAAAAAGATAGAATGTGATTTTTGCTTCACTTTTGAAGAGAAAGATCCTTGTCTTTTATCCTCTCTATTTAGCTATTCGTAAATATATAGCAATTTTAAACTTCACATGGAAAGGATTAACTTTAAACACATGGATTCCATGCTGTTGTAGCTTTCGGTGTGTGTGTGTGTGTGTGTCTATACATATTATTTGGTCGGTATGCACAAGAGAAAATGCCTTTGGACTTTATTTATCATTTGGAGTCAGAGTGAAGAAATGCATTCTGTTCGAGTAAACATTGATTGCGTCACTCAGTGTGCTACACAGCAGCCAGATTCCTCATGTTTGTGCAGAAGAGACATTCTGGAGAAGGTTTTGGAGCAGTTTTTGCACTGGTATTTCTTTACATCAGAGTGGGTCTGCAGATGAGCCCTCAGATTTGATCTGTCTGCAAATGCTCTGTTGCAGTGAGGGCAAGAAAAAGGCTTCTCCCCTGGGGGTGGAGGTGGAGTGGGGGCAAAAAGAAAGATAGTCAGTGTTTTCAGAGGAAACGAAAAGACAGATAACATTCATAAATAATCACATTATAATCACATTTTGCCAAAAGAATGAGAAGCAGCAAAACTTGATTGAAATTCCCCATAACAGACACTTATTTGCATATCTAACCCTTTAATGTTGCATTCAGAATCACACTAAGCATATTATTACTGCTGCCACTTATGTAGAAATAATTCATTTATTTCTAGGACTTTCACTAATTAAAGCTTTCTACTTCAACAGGTGAGGCTAATGTTTAGCTCCTCCCAACATTTCCCAATATTACTTCTTCTCCCTCTTTATGTATTATGACTCAGTCTGCATAAATGCCTTGAGTCCCTGATGAAAGGTGCTAGGAATAAAAAAAAAAAATTAGCATCAAAACTAACTAACTAAATAAAACAACTGAAAGCGGATCCAATTCTAACTAATGCAAACTGCTATGAAGTGGTAAGATACTACAGCAAACAATTTGCTGACAGCAAACTATCGGAAAACCATCTATCTCTCGATTACAGTGCTTGAGATAGCTACATTTATATTTACTGCTTATTGCAAGCAGTTTCACAGAAGACACACATTCAAGTGCATCTGCCCTGATTTTCTAACTGATCTGAGACCAACCCTTCTGAATCTACTTTCCAAAGTCTCAATCCCATTTGCAGTCTCTGGAGCAGAGGTTGTTAACAAGGAATGAAGCAGTTTGTGCTCCAAGGACTTTTTGAGTCATCAGGAAGTAGCTATAAATGATCATCCATCATTAAAAGCACTGTGTCACTACTCAATACAAATCCCAAAGCCAGCCCAGAGCTCCAGTCTATTAGAGAGGAACATTCATGTCTACGTTTTCTCTTACCAGTGTGAGTTCTAATGTGTCCTTGAAGTAACCAGGGTCTGGAAAACGCCTTGCCACAGATTTTGCAGACACAAGGTAAGGTGTGGGTCCGAATGTGCATCTTAAGGGCGCCCAGGCTCACATATTCCTTGTCACAGTATTTACAGCTGAAAGATTTCCTAGACTGGGCATCACAGTGCAACTGCTTATGTTTGGCCAGCCCAGAAAAAGTTGAATAGGTCTTATTGCATAGATTGCACTGGAACTTTTCGGCTTCAATGGCATGGGGGTCTGAAAGCTTGGACTGGAGTCTTTCCTCTTCATCACTAATGGGGCTTTCTGAGCCACTGTGGTCCTTGGATGAGGTGTCAGATGGAGAAGGGGGACTCACTCGCCCCAAGGATGAGGCATATCCAGACAGAGAAGAGAGGCCACTGGGTAGTGGGGAGTGGAATGGAGCTGCTGTAGTCCACATGGTGAGGGGGCTGTATGCTCCTGAGCTGAGGATCTCTGGTTGTGGTATGACAGGTATGGGGTAACTCTCATAGAGATATGGGGAAATGATCACTGGGGGGAAGAAAGGAAAAGAAAAGATTAAGGTAAAACATTAAACATACACTAACACGTACAGGACTTTATAACAAAGATTTCATTCCATTCCCACCCTTGCGGCTGTGGGGTGGTTATTGTCCTTAATGTCCATCTGTGCCTCCTGCACAGAAGTGTGACAGGAGCGTACCAGACTGCAGGCGGGACACGGCCCGGCGAGTGCCTTCACAGTCCCCACCGAGAGGGAAAACGTACATGTTGTTTTTAAAGATGCAGAAAAGTTGTTTTCCAATTTATGCAAGGGCGCTTTGCAGGTTTTATGACTGTACGTACAAAGATATGTGTAAGTCAAGCTGCTTTCTAAAGGAAAGAGCCCTGTTACATGAAAACAGCAGTAATTCAACAGTTACGTATTGTGTTACTCATCTTCCATATATTCATTATGCGTGTACGTACAAGCTGCAGCAAATGAACTTGCGAGCGTTGAATAGTTTTCCTTGTCAGTTAAAAGTTTGAAAAGTTTTCAATTAAAGTGTCTCCTAAATGATCTAAATATTCTGCACTCTCTTTTAGAACACCATTTAAAAGGAAAAGAACCTAATATTTGGTTCTTTGGTAATGTTATTTGAGTTGTAATATATTTGTATTTATATAGTTTAGATGTATATAGATATAATTTCTTTTTTAAAAAAATTTCCCTTCCTCCCTCTCTCCCTCCCTCCCTCCTTCCCTCCCTCCTTCCCTTCCTTCCTTTTTTTTACCTGTGTGTGTGTCCAGTTCGCTGTAGTTGGGCTTTTTGGAGGCGTTGAAATGCTTCTTGACGAGGAAGGAGCGCGGCATGGTGCCGGCGGGCGGCGGCGCCGCGGATAACGGTCCGGCGGGCGGCCAGGCGGCCCTACAGCATCGCGGCCGGCTCGGCCCGCGCTCAGGTGCGGCGGGGACGCCGGCGCCTCTGAAGTCGCCGGGCTGCTTCAGGAACTGAGCCCGTTTTTTTCGTCTGGGTGGGTTTTTTTCCTCGCTTTGGCCAGAAGCAGCCAATCGCAGCGGAGAGGTTCAGGTTTCAGCTCCTCCCTCTGGGACAGCTGTGAACAGAGGAAGAATCTGTTGTCAGACTAAATTATTCTGCCCCGAAATGGGCTGTTCCTGGGGATTTCAGCGCAGGCAGAGCAAAGCCTGAAGGTTTTCGAGAGAAGGTGCTTTCCGCCCTCCGCGCCGCCGGCGCCTCTGCTCTCGGGCGCCGGGCCGTCCGGGCGTGTTTCTAGCCGGCCCGGCCCCACGCCAGGGCAGCCCACGCGGCGGGGCAGGGCTCGCTCGCGGCAGGCGGGCTGTCCTGCGAGACCCCAGGCCGGCCTCTCCGCTCCTGAGAGCCTATATTTGGAAGTGACGTTTGGAGAGGTTTCACTAGCACAGAGAGGAAACAGTGAACTCTGGGCTTGTGGAGAAGCAGGTAGAAGGCCGCAGACAAAGCCCCGGCGAGCGGGGGGCGCCTGGGCGGGGGGCGCCTGGGCGGGGCCGGCCTCCGCCTGCGGGCCAGAGGGCTGGGAACGCACTTCTTGGCCCCAAGGCTCAGAAGCCAGAGGATGCACTTCCTCGTGAAAATTAAGTAATTATGTCACCATATTAGCTATACTGGCTCGGGAGAAATGCTGGTTAGCCCACGAAAGACCTGCTTATGGAAGAACTGGGAACTGCTGCTGGGGGCGGGGGCGGGGGCGGGGGGGAGACAATAGGAAAACTGTCATTAGGAACCATGAAAAATTCTCTCACAAATGCATTTGACAAGTTTTTATCTTTTCATGTGTCACTATGTATTTTATGGGAAAAAAACAAATCAACAAACACGTGAATGAGCCTCTAGAGACGATTATTTCATTTCCAACATCTATCTGCTTTTAAATGGTGTTCTTTTCTTCAATAGAAAGTGGTTACTATTCATCTTAGTAGCTGCTAGTTTCCTGGATTGTGTTTTTAAACAAAGGATGCCATTATGAGTACTACTTGTTTAAAGTTTTAAGAAGCTAGTCTAGCAAACAGCTAAAATACTTTAATTTTGTATATAGTATTAAATCTAACAATATTCAAAACGGCTCATTTGAAAAGTGATTAAAAGTAGAAGTTCAGCTGTGTTTTCAAGCATCTCTGCCCATTGCAGACTTGTCTACCCACCCTTTACTTAAAAGATTAAGGAAGGAACAAATTTGCAATGAGACCACTCGACCTGTGTTTCCAACAGGTGCTGGAAGAGTGAAAAGGGAAAGAAAAGTGGTGAAGTCAAGACTTGTAAGAGGAAAGTGCATTGTCAGAATGCCTGCCTTCTTACTCGTGGGGTGAGAACACAGGCCTGTGAGCTGGGGTGGGGGTGCTCACAGGTTTTCTGAGCTATTTCAATGATCCCTTTGTTCTTCTTCCAACAGTCACTCATTTAAACACTGGAGAAAGGGATTTCCATGAATCTTTATGTTAAAAAAGAGTATTTGTAGGAGACAGGAAAATATGAATATACATTAGATTCCTCTACAAACTGTAAACTGGAGTATACTTCGCAGCAAGTCTTCTGAGCTTGCACCTTTTGCAAGGGTGTGTTCAGATCTGGGCACTTGGTTTACTGAAACAGAAGTCCTCCTTGCCCTTTCCTCCCCATTTCCTGCAAAAGCACATTTTGTTACAGACAGAATATAGAGAAAACCCAATCTGCCCTGTGCCTTTATATCCTCTTTTCACTTCTACAGAGTCTACTTGTAGTAGCGAAGAGTGTTACTTTGTTATTTACTTGCTGGGAGTTATAACACAAGACAACCAGCTTAAGTGTGCATTTTTAAAAATCTATTTAAAATGTTTAACAGTAATTCACTATACTTAAAAAAATTAAACAACCTCAAATTTGGATTACAGATACATAACTGAGCCAAGTCTCCCACTACCTGTCCAGGGAAGCTGATCACACATGACACAAGTCAGAGTCAGGACATGTTACCACACCTCCTGGGACGAGCGGATAACGTTCAGGATCTGCATGAGGCATGTCATTACACAGGCCTGCGTGGTAACCAGTCACACGCAGACCTGTGTGAGGTCTGCTCTGCTGTCAGGAGACGGAGAGCCTGCAAGCTGATGGCGTGAGTCACACAGCTGCTCTGCTCAGACGCCGCACAGGGCATTTGGCACCAGAACGGTCTGGTTAAAATGCAGAAGGAAAGTAGAGTCTCCACCCAAAGGCCAACTTCTAGGCTTCTTCTCAGGCAAGATGGTAAGTTCTTGTCCTGCAAGCCGGAAGGATCATCTGGAAAAGTTGGCATTTGTCACTGACTATAACACTGTGTTGCTCAGGGGCAGAAATCGTTGCTGCTACATCAACAAGACACCAGGTTTAAATATCTCATTGGGGCAAAACAAACCTAAGTTGGTTTTACTAATGCAAGAAATTAGTTTTAGGTTGACCTGATTGGGGCCATTGGAATAGTGAGAACATGGGGCTTATCTTGAGATGTTACCCTGTCTCCAGCCCAGCCAGCCTGACACTGGTGGTCAGTAAGGGGCACAGGCTCAGCCCTTCGCCTCCCGACAGTTGAATTCGGGGTAGACAGAAAGGAGAAAAGGAGGGGAAGTACTGCCTGTGGGTACTTTCCCAGCTCTGAGGCCCTGGTTCCCAAAAGAACTTGCTTATCATGGGGGAAGAAGGGAAATATAAAAAACGCTCTCTATAGTTGAGCCACACTAGAGGGTCCTTTCCGTCACCTCTCTTCTGTGGGGTATGTGGGACATCAGAAGCCCACGCGATGGGATTTTCATGAATTTTTATTAGGATGCGACTTGATGTGACTCATCTGATAGTCTCTTATTTTCTGTTTTCTGAAGAAGCTGACAAAGATAATTTGTGGAAAACCTTGTAAATTCAAGGTCTGGGACCTTATGGGGGAACCATGCTTCCCCTACAGGCTCTCCTGTATGGCTGGGATTTCCTCTAGCCCCAGTCTTTTTCATGAAAGACATCGTTTGGCCTTGTTAAATAGAGAAATAAATTAAATTCATGAGGTTTGAGATTGCACTTTCAGTGTACTTACTTGCACAGAGATGTGTGTGCACTTAGGTGTTTAGGTATGTTAAAAGCCATGCCGAGACGGACTACTAAGTGTAAGAAATGGAGAAAATCTAGCACCAGAGAAAACATGGTTGGGCAGAGGCAGAACATTCTGTCTTGTGCCATGCTCTGTCTCCTAAAGTGCACAGCTTCTCTTTCTAGCTTTAGTTCGGGGCATGACCACCCTGGGGTGGGCTGGGGAAGAACGAACTCCCTGGAATGCTATGTAGTTATGGATTATTGTTAGTTTGACTGTGATATCTGGAGAATATCACAGTGCATTACTAATTTTTAAACTAGATAGTAAAAATGTTTATTATATGTAACCTTGAAGTTTGAATGACAAAGATGTGATGTCATCTTGTGGTTTTGTATATATTCATTTTTGTATACACATGTATATGTTTGTATTTGTATTCCTAATGCATACTTAATTCAGCCTCAGATAAGGTAAACCAACCCCTGAAAGAGAAATCAGTGTTTCTTTTTAGTACATGAGTTTTTCTGTCTGTATATTATACTTAATACTCTTTCCCTATTTTATTTTGGATGATTTCGAGGTAACTATTTCTCAATATGAAAGGGAAAATAATCAGAGTGAGCATAGGACTCTGTTCATATATTCTGAGCCTCATAACAAGGAGAACCCCATTTCTCTGGGGATGTAGATGGTACTACACACACACACGGCGTACATAAGTGTATCTACTTAGTGATGTTAACAGAGCTGAATGTGAACGTGTGTGTATGTGTAAACTGTGGTGAAAACAATAGCAAACAAATGATGTCAGGATGTCTCTCTGCTCTTTAGGAATGTCTATTATTTCCGGTGTGTTTCCAGAGCCATATTCACCAGGCTAATAGTCACTAGCTTGTGTGTCTATCTGGAGTTAGCTCTAATACTATTAGCTCAATAAATACTATCATATAGGTTTAATGAATATTTAAGGTCACTTCGAACAGAAAACCTTATTGAACTTAGGAGCAACATTTTACTGAGATGTATTTTGTGACAAATTACTTGTGTTTATAAATCACTTGTATTCAGAATTGTATTCCTAATAATGGTTTTAGAGTCTCCTTTCCTTTTGGTGGCTATAATATGGTTAATGTGTCATGCATGCTAGGAGATAGTCATCTCTTCAATGCACCTTATAGAAAGTGCTGATCTTATCTATCAGATGAGAAAGAAAGAGTGTTGAAAATATGTTGTGTTGGATTTATAGTTTATACAACAGCTCAGGAATATGTGGTTGCAAAGAGACACCTATTGGTGAATTGTGGAAGACTCGCCGCTTTCTTTTTTTTTTTTCTCTTGTAACTTTTTAACACGTTCTGCCACCTAGTGGAACATGGATGAATTGACTAAACACTGAGAGCATCAACCTGACCTCATTTTGTAATTGCCCTAATCTCAGGACATTATTTTAATCTTCTGAATTTCTAATTTATTCTTATTTAAAAGTGACCTTTTTATGTTTGTAGAAATGCAGGTGATATTTACACAACCAATTATGTTGGATTTATAAGATAGATGAATAAGGGAAATGTATGATGTCTATCAATCTGTGGTCAATGACAACAAAGACAGAAGTAGACAAAATAGTAGCACTATGTTGAAAACTTAGTAAGTACCTCAGTGACTTATTCCCTGTGTCTTCACAATGACCTGTAAGGTAGAGATGTTCTACAGGCAGGATCCAAGCCTGAGCCCAGTTTTCCAGGGACATTCAGAATGAAAGGGGATGGAACCGAGGTTTCTCCTCAGTCTGTGCCTCCGGGGTTGCGCACTGCGCTGTGCACCCCGCTGCAGCCCTGCAGGTCGCTAAGGCAGACTTGAGAACGGTCGGTGCCAGGCCGTCCGTGTTCTGCTTGCAGTGATACAAGCTAACATTC